AGATCTGTTTGCGACCAGTCTCAATCGCAAACTTCTAACATTAGTGTCTCCGGTTCCATATCCAAAATCTTTTGCGGTAGACGCAATGAGCCTATCTTGGAAAGGAATGTTCGGGTACGCCTTCCCTCCTTTCAGGTTTCTCTCCCCAGTACTTCAGAAAATAGCAGGGGAAAATTGCAAGATCATAGTTATTGCTCCAGCATGGCCGAAACAGTCTTGGTTTCCAGACTTTCTGCGCCTATCATGTGCTTGTCCTCTAGTTCTACATCTGAGACCAGACCTTCTGTCTCAAATCAAGGGCAAAGTTCTTTATCAAAATCCAGAAAAACTTCATCTACACGCCTGGCTTCTCTCAGGGTTAGCCTCAGAAAGAGAGGTTTTTCTGAAGGAGCAACCAAGCATCTCACAAAGTCTGTCAGAGACTCCACTAGCATTGTCTATGATGCAAAATGGTCAATCTTCTCAGATTGGTGTAGTGAGCGGGAAATTGATCCTTTCTAAGTCACTGTACAACAATTAGCAGACTTTCTAGTTTTTCTTTTTGAATCCAAAGGATTATGTCCCTCTACTCTTAAGGGATATAGATCAGCTATTTCAAGAACTATTCATATTTCTGGTGGCCCAGATTTTGGAAACAATGAGCATATTTCTCTTTTGGTTCGTAGTTTTAGTCTTGAAAGACCAAGACAAAAAACTTTAGTTCCTAAGTGGGACCTTGAACTAGTTTTATCCTTTTTAAAACTTCCTCATTTTGAACCAGCAGAAACAATAGATTTAAGGTTTCTTTTCTTTAAATGCTGTTTTCTTTAAGCTTTGGCTTCTGGACGGAGAAGGAGTGAAATCCATGCCTTCTCTATTTCTGATGCTTGCCTTCAATTTAACAGGGATAAATCTTCTGTTACTCTTTTAACTGATCCTGATTTTTTGGCAAAGAATCAGATTCCAGATAAGGGTGCAGAACCAGTCATGATTCCTGCACTCCCTAGCGATTCTATTTCTGTACTTTTATGTCCAGTAAGAATCCTTTCTATTTATCTGGATAGAACGAGTAGTTTACGTTCTGTTTCTAACTCAAGACTCTTTATTCCTATTAAAAAAGGAATCTCAGATCTTTCTGTTAAAACTATTTCTACTTGGATATGCAAATGCATATCTTTAGCTTATGGTTCTTCTAAGGCAGAACTTTTAAATAGTTTTAATGTTAAAGCTCATGATGTTAGGGGTATCTCTACATCCTGGGCTCTGTTTAACAGTGCATCTTTAGAAGAGGTACTGTCTGCAGGTTTCTGGAGAATTGAGAACTCTTTTATATCTCATTACCTCCAATCTATGGCTACTTTTGCCGAGAGTTTATACTCTCTTGGACCTATAGTTTCAGCACACAGATTGAACTTTCCTCCTGCTTCTTCTGTTACAGGGGATTCAGCTTTACGTTAGATTCTGTTACTCAGAATTTATGATGGTAATGTATTTATAGCTATAAAATATTCAAATTTTAAAGTAAATTTGGATTTTATTAGATAAATACTTACCATCATAAATTATAGATCCCACCCGCCTCCCCTTCATCCCCTTTCCTTACGTTTCTGTCTTGAGGAAATTGAATGGGAGAATATGGGCAAACAGGGGTATATGTCCGGACCAGTGAGAGTACGTTTATTTTTAGTCTGGATTTTCCATCTGACCTATGACGCAATTGGGGTTACACTCAGAATTTATGATGGTAAGTATTTATCTAATAAAATCCAAATTTACTTTCAAATTTGAATTATTCTGTTTTATAATTTATATCAAATGAATGTAGTGGTTAGAACATTGTCAATATACCACTATGGATATCTATAACATGATTCTCTCATCTACATTGCAATAGCAGAAAATTCAAGGTAAAATCCAGTCACAATCTTTAAACCTTTTCGAATAATATCAAAAACTTCAAAAAACAGCACATAACATTTTGCCAAATCCAAGTTTGTTTATATAATTAAGAAAAGACAAATATATTGAAGATAAACTTTATTGAAAAATAAATATAGTGTGTTGCTAACAATGCATTAAAAAACACACTATAAAGTAAGAAAATACTAAAAATATTTACATGATTTAATAGACAAGCATTACTTATCTAAAATATTAAACAAACCTTGAAATTTCTATCTGGACATAGTAAATGAACTGGTTAACAATTTTGGTTTTACTGAGTTTTACAGACATGATTCAATATCAATTATTTGCCATAAAAAAAAATTAATAACATTTATAAATCATCTTTTTTTCAAATGCCATTCCTCATAAAGATACTTTAATAGAAACTTGTGTATAATGTGTGTTCCTCTGAATTAAATTATTGAGTTTTAAAATAGTAAATAATTATTATTTGAAATATGGGGGGAAAGAAAATTCAAAATTAATTTATAAAAATTCAAATATAAAATTCTCATAAAATTTAGAAGGATCAACTGAATGTATGAATATTTCAAGAGGAATTATTTCCTGGCCAAAATCTCATAAACAAAAAGAAACTAGAAGAAAACTGAGTTTTTCTAAACACTTAACCAGTTTAAGAAACTATGTAATGTACAGACTAGAATGTTAGAGCATCACCTTCTCCCAGGTTAAGCCTTTTCAATCCATCATTACAATCTTATTGTAAAAGTGAATTTAAACATGTACAAAGCAAAACAAAACTTTCATATAGCGAAAGTTAAAAACGTTAACTAATAAACCAATAACTTTCTCTCAAACGTGCAATGTGTTTTTCCTGTTAAAATATAATCATCAATATTAATATATTTCATATTTGATAGCATTACATATGATTAATTACTGCTTTGTACATATCCCTTATATGTTAAAAGACATTTGACCTCACTCAATACAGAAATTTATTTAAGCAAAGTTGTATGAATGCTAATATTTATATTTTGCTGTATGACAAACACTTCACAATTTTGTGGACTCTAAATCTTTGTCATCATCTCATTTTGACACAATGTGTGTATTTTCTGGTTTTTAATCAAGAATTTGTCAGAGAAGTTATATGCTCTTTCTACTCTTGTCAATTCTGACTTACTGTATAACTAACAGATATTTTAGTTAGGTTTACATAGATTTCCCTGATTTTGTGTGCATTTATACCAGTACTTTAGATGAAATTTTGGTGTACTAATATTCAACCTGAGAATACAAATATTGTTTAAATGTGATGATTGTTCATCTTTTTGAATATATATATACAGTAATCATAATTACTCTAAATATCAGCACAACAATGTTAAATCTGCAAATTTGCAAATCTGCAAATTTGCAGATTTAACATTGTTGTGCTGATATTTAGAGTAATTATGAATATAATATGAGTTTTCAGCCGTGTATCACTTTCACTGGTGATCCAACGGATGGATCTGTCATAGAGTTGTCACTTGTTAAGATGTACTTATACAGTTATCATACATACACAACTTGAGTTTTCACAGGTTTAAATACACACATAAAACAGGTAACAACAAACATAAACTAAAATATCTGTGCAAATGTAATATCTGTCAAATTTAATATCTGTCAAATTTACTTTCTGTGCAAATGTTATATCTGTCAAATTTAATTTCTGTGCAAATGTTAGTTGCTTATATTACAATACTTGAACCATAAAACAAATATACACTGATGACAAAGGAGATGAATGACAATAGAGAAACACACAATATTAACTACACCACCACCAACACACTGTGCCTACACCTAATTCTCATGAATAATAAGTAAACACCTAACCAATTATGATAACCTTGTTCCTATACTATCTAAACACTACACACATATACAATTATAAGTCTAGCCTATTAAAATTATGCTAATATGTTTAAACCTAAAAAAAAAAATTCAAAATTGTGAAGTGTTTAATATTTTTGCAGCAAAAGTGTAAAGATATGGAATAAAACATTTATATCCACATGGACTTTGTTATACATGTCTTCAAAATATTTAACATATTACTTTTTTCTTACCTCCACATTACAAAATAAGTAGAAATGAAAATGAAAATTACAAACTTGTCAAGAATATAAATGAATTGGTACAAATTTGTATGACCTGTATAATGTAAATATGAGCTTTTTAATACACTAAAGATTTGTGCTCAGCGTCAATTCCCCATGAAGAACTAGTACATCAACAACTACTAAGAGACATATCTTATATTGGCACGATAAAAACAAGGGACTTCACACAACACAATATTTCCTACATCAGCTCTATGCTAAGGCCATTCTATATCATTAAAACTTAGTTTTCAAATAAAAACTTTTTACATATTGAAAATGGAAGAGTGCTCTGTTTTGTTTATTTACACTTGAAGACATCTTACAACCTAAACTATTCATCCTATTATACAATCTTCTCATTGGTATTTGATATGCCCTCCGAGAAAATTTATTCATGAAACAGGTCATACTTAGGGACGTATCTAACACATCTAAGTAACACAAAGTAAATTTACCATACACTCAGATATAAAACTACCAATAGCCAATTAAGAATACAGGTAAATGGAATTTTTTTTTTTTTTTAATTTCTTTCAATTTCATGGATATTTCCAATGAAGTTGGGAATATTTATTGCCTTAAATTTTCTTTTTTGGTCTGTATTTCATTAGTTTTATTGATTTCTACGTAGTTCTTCTCAACAAAATGCAAAACAAATAAACATAGCATCCCTCCAAAAAATTATGAAAATAGAGAAGAAAAAAAATATACAACATAATTTTTCGTATAAATCTGAATTGAGTGCATGTAAATCTTGTGGTAACCAATATGATACATCTCATAAAATATAAGCACTACAGGAAAAAATGATATACATAAAAAGAATCCCTCTATAAATATCACAAGGGAAATTTAATGGAGATAAGTACAGTAGAACCTGTCTTTGAGAGAATACAACCTCGGCCATCAAAAAGTAATCTAGAAGACCATTAAGTCTCTCAAAATATTTTTCCCGACAGGACAGGTTTTACCATCAATTACATTCATTCTTAGAAATATCTATTCATACATATCGAGTTATATTGACTAGTAGCCTATATAGCAGTATGATCTATTTGAAACATATACAGTTATTGTCACATAGCATAAAACATAACACAAGAAAATGAATAACAAAATTTATCAAAATGTACTTATATAAAATTAAAATAACATGAATCCAAATATCTTGGAAAAATAATAAATCCTGAATATAAAAAAAATAAATATCTGTCATAATAGCAATGGCAATGATGGTTATCTAGCATGATCTTTAACAAGATATTAAACAAACAAAAAACATTGATGTTCAACTAATGCATTCTCATTATATAAATTGTTGACTTTAAAAGGTATTAGTTTTTCTCAAATTCAACAATAGTTGAGAACATGGCACAATCCCGAAATTTTTCTCTCTGAAAAAAGTGAAATCACAAAAGAAAAATAACATTTTATAAATGAATAGATCATTCTAATGATAATGTAATAAAAAGCATTGTATGTTAAACATACTAATAAAATGATCCTAATATCTAGATTATGAGTATTGCTTGATGATTTGAAGAAACACTTTTTAGTCTAGAGACATTCATATCCATGTCCTATTGCTCACTCTTGTCCAATTGGTATGGATATTTCAAAATCACATGAAGAATTACTTATCCATCTCAAATTATTAGATCAAAATGTTTTATTTCTATTGAATAGTGAAACATTAATACATCACCATTTGATACTTATGAAAACCAATTTTGATAACATAAACAATAATATTGACTATAATAGGATTTTACTACAATCAATGATAAAATAGTAGAACTTTTTATACAAAACAACAATGACATTAAACAACATGCTGAGATCACTTATTGTATCATAAGTATGTAATGTTGCATAAATGTGGAATACAGCAATTAAAACTCATTTTACATTAAAACAACAACATCAAAAAAACAAACGTAAAAAGGTTTGAGCAGCTTCACAGAAAAACTATGGGTGGTTTTAAATTTTTCCATGAAGTTTTACCTGAATGCATTGTTTCCAAAGGAATTTCAAACACAGAATACATCCATACAGAGTATAGAATATTCAGAGTAGAGAATGGAAGTCTGATTTGCCAATCAGCATCAGAATATGGCAACATGCCTCTGTAATACATCTACCAATGAGGTATGCACAACAATTTACAAGATGGACTTTTGGTTTTTATTCTATATTTACGTTTTGTTATGGTATGGAATCAGTTTAACTGTCATGACATCTCTTTTGCATTTTTACAAATATTTCCATAATACTGTATTTTTTTTTAGAAAAAAATTCTTGTAGATACATTGTGTACTGTTTTCTTCCTAGAATAGTTAATAATTTCTAATACAGTCAGCCAAAGTGTTTTTTTTCATTTTTCATATTGGGTTTCTATTTTTAAAAACTTAGAAAGCCTTAATTGTTATAAAATGTATAAAAAAACAATGTATATAACATCATATTAACTGCAGCTGTAAAGACAGTCAAGTTTTTACATAATCTTTTAATCACAATATAAAGATAAACTTTTTTAGCACTATTTTGTGTAAACGAGTAAATTGCATAATATTTTAAAAAGTTACAACATAATCCACTACATAATAACACTGAACACTGGAATTAAAAATAACAACAAAGAAAAGATATGGTTTTACTTATTACAATCATTCATTCATTGCCAAATTATTGAAGCATTATGAAATGCACCAAGCAAAGGTATTAAATACAAAAATATCACTGTTTACAAATATTCAACGCATTTTCCTCCAAATAGAATTGGAGTGATCCAAAATTAATGAAACAGGAAAGTTCGTTTCATATGTTAGGGTTTTTATTGTTCAGATTCCTCCTCTTCCTCAACCTCACCATAGCATTCCTCTGCTAAAGCAAAGTATTTATTGGCCAGTCTTCCTTTCATTGAAGCCATGGCGGCTTCAGCTGCTTCATTATATAAATCACCTGTGAAAAAGAAAGATGCATGTATTTCTAAACAATGTAACATCAACATCATTGTTTATTAGCTAAGCATAGACTTCATGTTTGATTAAAATATAGTTTTAATCTATTTTCTGTATTCAAATTCAATAAAACATATCCTTCCTATCAGACTCATAGTTATAACAGGTAGATAAAGAATTTTACAATATTGAGCAACCTTAGAATCTGCTCTCTGCACTAATGAACAAAAAAAGAAAACAAAACATACTGGTAGACTGCTCAAGAAAAAAGTCTTCTGTTCAAAAAGTGTCTGTTGTTTGCATAAAGCTTCTTTTATTTTCACCAAATGCCTATTTTCAAATTTGATTATTTGTTGTAAAACTTTTCAAAATATACTGAAAAAGTCTACAAGAGTACCAAAATAATTTGTTCTGTCCAAAATATTACAAACAACATTCTGAGAGTATAAATTTGCATGGCAATACATAGTCAACTACCAGTTAAGAATTCATTGTACTGGAAGAAAATGCTTACTTGATCTATAACTTGACATGGTGTAAACTATATAACAAATATCAAGTCAATATCTTCAAGCATGATGGAAAAAAGTGTGGAAAACTGATTATTGAGTGAATTTTCTAAGTCCAAGGACCATAACTCTGCACAAATTCATCAAACCAGAACAAAATTCGAACTTGATCTGTAACTTGTTATGATAAAATTTGTAAGGGGTTCCTCGGAACCCTGTGTCTCACCTACGGTTGCTGCTGTCAGTGTAAAAGTGTAATGTTGACTTAAAAAGTGAGTCCATTTATCAGTAAAATACAGAATGTTAAAAAGATTCAAACTTTCTCTTTAGATGCTATTTCTTGGTCTTGCAGATTAGCTTCTGTCCAAGTTTCATAACAATCCATGAAGGTTAACAAACTTATCATGTCAAAAAAATGTAATCCCAGACTGTCAGTAAATGTTAACTGTAAAAAAGTCCATCTATCAGAAAAATACTGAAAATGAAAATATATTTTCAAAAGTGTGCTTCAGACATTTTCTCTTAATTATAAAAAAGTTTCATAAAATTCTATGTAAGTTGGACAAAGTAATTGATGTGTAACAAACTTTAACCCCAGGCTGAATATATTTGTTAAATGTAAAAAAATACGAAGTCAATTTATCAGTAAAATACGGAAAAATGAAAAGAAACTTTGCTCTGGATACTGTATTTGGTCATAAACAAGCTTCTGTCCCAATTTCATCAAATTCCATGAAGGTTTGACAAGGTTATTGATGACTGAAAAACTTTAACCTCAGACTGAATCTGAATGTTAAGTGTGAAAAAAATTAAGTCCATTTATCAGTAAAATGTGGAAAAATGAAAATAAATATTTTCAAAATTTTGCTCTGACTACTGTTTTTTGGTCATAAACAAGCTTCTGTCCAAATTTCATGTAATTCCATGTAGGTTTGACAAAGTTATTGATGTCCAAAAAAACTTTAACCACAGACTGAACTTAAATGTTGATGCCCCCGACGATGGAATCTAGGATCGCTATGTTGGCTCGACAAAAACTATATACCAATTATCAAATCAATATCATCATGCATGACAGAAAAAAGTGTGGAAAACTGATTATTGAGTGAATTTTCTAAGTCCAAGGACCATAACTCTGCACAAAATCATCAGAACAAAATTCGAACTTGATCTGTAACTTGTCATGATAAAACTATATACCAAATATTAAATCAATATCTTCAAGCATGAAGACAAAAAGTGTGGAAAACTGACGGATGGACAGACAGACGGAAGGAGTGCAATCCTAAAGTCCCCTTCGACTTTGTCGGTAGGGACAAATAAAGATAATTTTAGAAGAAGCTGTAATTCTGCAACAGATTTGTAATTTGGGTCAACTCACGGACTAAATGACCTTACTGTTATAAACATCTCTGTGACTTACCAGCAGAACTAGCGTCTTTCTGTAGACCATGGCCTCCATATCTGTACAGCTCTGCCTGTTTGGCTTGGATCTGATACAGAGGATCATTGATGGTACTATCATACTCTCCACCTTCATCATGGTTATCAGTTTTCACTGCCAAGTTATAATAATGGATGGCATCTTCCCAAGATATGCTCCTACAATTAAATGAAATAATAATTATACCCAACTATATAACCTTACAAATTGTTCAAATCAAAAAGCTGGTAAGCACATAAGGGGTAAAGATTGCCATCATTATCCATTGGGAACTTAAACAATTAAACAGTGCAATAATTTAACTGAGTTATCTCCCTTTGTCCATATTGTAGAGAGACCAAACAGATGCATTCATGCACCATGCACTACTTCTTTCTGCAACTGTGTTATTTCAAATAAAATGGTTTTCTTGGTATGGTAATACACTTAAACTCCATTGAGTGAATATCTGGGTATAGATAAATGATAAATTGTTTGACATGGTCATTGATAGGATCAAAGAATGTTCTCCTCCCTGCACTCGGAAAAGCAACCTCTCATTGCATATATATAACTACAGATTTCAAAGACCCTCTATCTTAAGAGTTTTACATTAGTCCCTAGAGATTCTAATCTTATTTAAAAAACTTTCCTTTGAGTCCTAACCAGGTAAATTTTTGTAAGGAACTCATACTCGTGACTCGTGAGTATTGAGGAACAGTACCATATCATTAATTACTTGAGCTTTACTTCGATTAAATACAATTGCTATTTCAACAATAACCCTTAACCACAGGCACTTGTCTCTGATAAAAATTACTAATACACCTCAATAACTACAACTCGCATTTTTGAGAAATAACATTCAGTCACAAATTTTTGTTATATTTCGATTCCTCGGTTGTCTATCCCACTGAAACTTGTTATGTCCTAAAATACATAAAATTATCTACAAAATGGTGTATAACAGCTATTTCTGTTGTAGGAATATTTGTAGCAGGCCTTCCAAGTAGATCGACTGTAAACAATTTTGTCGTCTCACAGCAAAATTGCAATGTTGAAATCGCAGTGAATATTCAAATTATCAGTTTTGATAATACAGTCAGATAATATTTATAAAATCATTCCACAGGTAAGTTCATTGTACTATAGGTCGCATGTGAACTCTGAAATGTCAACATCAGAACCTCACGACCTTCCAAAACAAATATCTGACAAAGTATCCTTATCATCATCAAAATCTGGTATTTGAATTTTGAAATAACATCGCATATTGCGTCAAGTTCTACTCTATCCAGAAGCTGAAACTCAATTTTTGAGTCAAAAACCCCAAATGATTTGAAATTCTATGAAAATGAGATAACCTGTTTTAAATATAGGAAGTGGTTTAAAAAAAAACAAGTATTCTAGTTCCTGCACATTAAGGGTTAAAGTCCTCTTATTCAATTTTTGTAGTATACTGGTATATTACCTGTTGCTATTTAGTCCTTCTCCAGTTTCAAAGGCTTTAGCCATGTATAACATAGCCCCTCTATCTCCTGCTTCAGCTGCCTGTATCATATACTGTATACCTTGTTCTTTGTTCTCCTCCGTTTGCTTAATAAAGAAATAAAAATATAAATTGAATTTGACCATTCCTTTCAAAAAATAAATTATTTTTACTTGATTTCATGTTGGTTTATTCTTCTTTTTTTCAAGGAAGTTGTCAGTCTTTTACTGAGACAGAGTAGCAATTTTAAGCCTTTCGTTAAAAGGGTAAAATGAAAGTCAGAAAGTTTTTAAATATAATTATACACATGTATTGAATTGATTAATAACGACTTTTTTTTTTTTTTTTGCTGTGCATGTACTGATTTTGTGTCATGGATGGATATCCTTTATTTTCTATCATAAAGGAATTTCAGTTTGAATGTTTTTAAAGGCAAGACATGAAGATAAACTGTTTTTGTCTTTCTTTTTTTTTTATAAATATTTCTTGTTTTCTGATAAATATATAAATGAAATAAGTGTATATGTAGGCAAATAATTAACATAATATGTAGTAAATAAACCTATCTACATTACCTCAACAGTACAATTGGCAAGTACATCTCTTTCCAAGTTCAGATACAGTTTAGCCATTGTAACAATAGCCTCTAGTTCCCCAAGTTCAGCAGCATGTTCTTCATGAAAGATGGCTGACTCCCAGTCTATATTTTCTCCAGTTAAGTCTTCACCCATAACAAATCTTCCTACTTCATGGTACTTAGCCATCTCATGATGAACCTAGAAATCAAACAGAAGACAAGTTAATTATAATTTACAAAGTGAAAAAAAATAGCTATGTTTTTAAAAAATCTTGTTTATGGAAGGAATTATAGATGAACAATGTCCAGTGGCAAATCAATTGCTGTATAAATTCAGAAATTTTTGCAATATTTCAATTACTGCAAAAATTGCACCGGGTTAGATTTTGAAAAAATAAAAACTCACATTTTAACTTTTAATAACACTATTTCTATACAGCATTTCCTGAAATGGCAATAAAAATATCTAACATTTTTTGCCAGTTGTACATCAATCATAATACAAAAATGCATGCAAAAATTACTGAATTCAAAGTAACTTAATCTTAGTTTCAATGTTTATAAACTTCTAAAATCTCCATTGCCATCATGATATGTAACTTCTTTTTTAGTTACTTCTACCTCATGAGATTTTTACAATATTTTGTAAAGCATGTACCTTTCCAAGGATAGAATCTCCTATTCTGAGATTGTTTAATTTTCTAAGATCTTTCTCTAAAGCTACACATGATGGTCTTGCTCTCTGTGCTGCCATTCTTTGGAACATAATTCTTTCTTCCTGGAATTATAAATACAAAATTGTCCATAAATCTATTTGCTACAAAAAGAAAAATTAATTAAAAGAAATTTAAAAGCAGAATCTAAATAAAATATAGATTTCAAAGTGAGCCAAATCATGCTGCTATGAATAAAATAAAAACCAATAAATAAGATAAGAGAGTTATATTAATACTGTAACAGCACAAACATAATACTTATAAAATGTGAACAAGCAGGACAACTAATCCTCCTTCAGTATAGTAGCATTTTCAAAAAGCAACAGTATCTTGAATATCAAAAAATATTGACTTAATTTTGGCTGTAATGGTATAAATTATAGTAGTTTTTAAAGCTTAGTTTGTAAATCATTTATAAACCATCTATATATACAATGCAGTATTGTTGATTTTAGCTTCAAAAAAGGTATAGCAAAGTAGTTCAATATCAACTTTTCCATACATGTAATAAATTCACATCATTCAAACAGTTACCAAATTACACAACTGAAGTTCTGTATGGGCATAGACCTTTCAAATTCTTAAATACCTTTTCCTGTAAAGCTAATCACAACCTAAAAACAGGTGGACATTTAATGTGTAAAATTTTTGGACATTAAAAGTGTAAAAGTTTTGCATATTACTATTAAAAACATTTTTAAAGAGACAACTCATACAAAAAAAGAATAAAAACTATTATTTCACAAGTTACTGGACATGATAATTATATTCTACAACAAAGGTCTTTGCCCAATTACTACAACCAACAATTCAGTCATGTACCTCACCATCCAACAAACCGACCTAAAGAATGTATTAAATAAGTCATAATAATTTTTTTCAGACTAAGGATATAATAATCCTTACACATATTGAGAAAGTATTAAATATTAAATTTTAGCACTAGGCTTGGCTGTTGAATGGCACAGGAACACATAAAGGTTCAACCAACATTTACAGGGTAACACAAAACCATACAAATCCAATACACTATATCTAGCCATCTATGTCACAGGAAACTTTATACAATTATTAAAAAAAAAATCAGGATAAAAAATATTATGATTAATATACATGTAATACAATTCAGATGTCAAGGAAGTGATAGATTAAGTTTCACTTTTCTGTTTGACATATGAGTTGGGTTTATTTATAATGTATACATGTACTAAAGGAAAGGAACAATGCATCTCCGTACTCCTTCCAACATTTCACAAAAAAAGTTCCATTGATGAATATGATCTTTATAGCTAACCATTCAGTGCAAAAGTATAATTCTTAAATGCTACCAAGACATCACAAACATGTAATTTTTTTTTGTAAAGATTTGCCGATTATATACATCATTTTTAGACATAATCAAATATAATATAAGCCTTAGATTGTAATATTTTTATCACATATTCATCTAGAAAAAGAAATTAGGTAGTAAAACATTTTTTTGGATAAAACAGTTGATCATAGCTAAATCTAAATGAATAGGTGCTAAAACAAGGTCATTTTGAGGACCAAAAGCAAATTAGTACAAAACATTAATGAGAGAAATTGAAAATCTTGTCATGTGTAAAGATAAAGTTACCAAAACTAAAACATAAAAATATAAATGTATGGAAATATGTGTTCTTCCTATAGCTAATAATAGATTGTGATTTTTAAAATTAGGATTCATACATAGTGGTTTATAAAACTTAAACAAACATTTGATGTGAATTAAGCAAGCAGTCAGGAAATTCAGAGAAATTTATTTAGTAAAGTTATTGTTTGAAAAGGAAAAAGACTACAACTGATCTTTGATACAATATTGGGCTTATCTACCAAAAACAAATACCCAATGATGATATTTGAACATTTCACCATGCCAAATCTGAAATACAAAATTGAAGCCATTACCAATATTAACTGCAACCTTGTTACCAGTTGAATTTAAAACTTTAATTCATGCATCAAATTTTGTATATTTCAAAATACTATTTCAAAAATTCAAAGAAAATTTAACAAATGTATTACATTGTCAAAGCTCAGTTGTACACATAAGTTGATACAGATGCAAATAGTTATAGTGATTCTTTCTCCATTACCTTTTGTTTGTGTAATTCCTGTGGCTTAGATACTGAATTCTCCTTTAAAACATCCAGATATATATTGGTAAGACCCAGATATATGTTTTTAGCAACCTTGAAGTCAAAACAAATGTTCTAAGTACATGTGCACTAGTGAGTAAGAGATATATAAAGATTGTAGCTAGGAGTTGCTCCATTATCGAAAGTAAGAGAGTTAAAGCACATCAAAATCTGACAAATTATTTTCCATCATTTTATTAATTCTCCTAGATACAATCTTTGTGGTGCTGTTTGTTTTGACAATTATAATCTATCTCTCCATCATTTTATTAATTCTCCTTGATACAATCTTTGTAGTGCTGTTTGTTTTGACATTATAATCTAGCTCTAACTTGTAGCAGTACACAAACCAAAGTTTATTTGTTATCAAGAACTAAGAATAAATTTTTTAGGGAATTAGAATATACAAACATAAAAACTTTATGCGACAACAATAAGGTCAAAAGCTAACATAAAAGGAAATGACTGTAATTTAATAAAAAAAAATGCCAAAAAAAGAAAAAGAATAATAGAGCTGAATTAAAAAAACTCAATGGCTTACATCAGCTGTCATGGATGACTGACTATCTGATTCACTCATACATCTGAATCTAACATTGCCAGGATTGGACAAGTTGACTGGACTATCTATTGACATTGGGTCATCATCAAATCCTGGACTAGGGCTATCAACGGCAGAATCACTGATGTGAGACGATGATGATCGCTGTCTTAGGAACTCAGTGATGTCTACACTCATGTCCCCTGGTGACCTTGACAATGAGTGACAATGTTCCTCTGTTCCTCTTACTCTTGTCATCATGAATGATTTCCTCTACAAAATTATATAAAGCATATTAATCATAAATTCATATACAATAAACAACAGACTTTCTTTAGTTTGTGAATGAATCGCCCGAGTTTACACATCGATAAATTCCTTCAAAATTACCTTATTTACTATAATAAAGTTAAGTTATATTAGTATAATCAGTGTCTTAAATTTTGTAATTAAGAAACAATTCAAGGCTGCCCTTATCTTATAGTTTTTTTATGCATGAACAAAATTTTCTTACACTAACAAAAACAAAAAAAAGCATCATTTTCTATATTCAGTGGAAAGTGAAATTGGGGTCAAAACTCTAATTTGGCATTAAAATTAGAAAGATCATATCATAGGGAACATGTGTACTAAGTTTCAAGTTGATTAGACTTCAACTTCATAAAAAAATACCTTGACCAATAACTTTAAACTGAAGCGGGACAGACGGACTCACAGACCGAAAAACATAATGCCCCTAGGTGGGGCATAAAAATGCACTTTTTTTGTTCTATAAGATTTTCTATTAATATCTTAGAGAGATAAAGGCTTCAGAGCAAATGCAATGTGATTTCCATTATAATTAATATTTCCAAGGGGCATAACTTGTTAAAAATATTTGGTCAGAACTTATTTTCGAAAGTGTCAAAGACATTGCTGATATAAACCTATGATATAAGTTTCATAAAATTCCTGCAAGAATTATCCACGTGAGAGGGCTAACAATGCAATTTTCCGTGTAATCAATATTTCCAAGTGGCATAACTCTTTTAAAAATAATTGATCGGCACTGATTTTCTAACTCGACAAAGACATTGATGATATAAACCTATAATAAAATTTCATAAAAATGTGGCAAAAATTGTATATATTTGAGCGCTCATAAGGCAATTTTCCATATAATTAATATTTCGAAGGGGCATAACTCTTTTACAAATTTTTGATCAGCACTGATTTTCGAATTCGTCCAAGACATTGCTGATATAAACCTATGATACAAGTTTCATAAAAATCTGGCAAGAATTGTACACGTGAGAGCGCTAACAAGACAGGACGGACATCTGGTATTTCTATGTCCCCCGCAACACGTTGCGCGGGGGACAATAATAAAAGTAAGGGTAAAAAAATAACACAAATAAGAGGTTTTGTCAAGTGACGACTAGAAGCACTTTTCTGTGTCATAGCAGTCATTTACTGTTTTGATCACTGTATTTTTTTGAATTGATGCTTTAGCCATTGTCAGTAATCTTTTCTGAGTATTTTACCAATTAGGAACTATAAACAATTTTCTTATGTAAGAGGGAGGTTTGGTGCATCTTAAAACCTGATTTAACCCATCATTTTTACTTTAAAATACCTGTAACCAGTCAGGAATGTGATGATAGCCCCTCTGACAGTTATGAATTCATAGATGAAAGTGCTCTTTGAATTGCCTTTCATCTTTATGGGCTTTCTGCTATTGTCATGTTCTGTTTTGCTGTCACACTTAATGTAACCCATTGTTATTAACAGGTTATGGCGTTAAAAAAATCATACAAAGATGATTTAACTACCGGTACTATTACAAGACTGAGACGTCATGTAGATAAAACATAAAGGAGATATCTGATCAAAACAACGTGAAAATCAACTTTTGTAAAACTCTGTATAAACTTCAAAATGCAAACAAAAACTTGACAGCTCAATGTTATTGCCCAAAACCCTGGAAATACCATTGAAATGGAGAAAGAAAATGAAATCTTTATCCAATCACCCCTTTGGAGATCTCAGCATGTGTAATAAATCCTTGTGTCGTTTTGTAACAAATCCACAGGAGATCTACAAATCTCTTGCTAACGGAAACCCATCCAAGATCAAAGGTTGAAGGAAACATTGACAGAAGTCTTTGATTTGTATATAAAACATACAGAAAAGCACACAAGCTAATGAAAGTTTTAAAAAAACTGTTGGCTTAAAAGCACCAAAATCCCATCATTATAGCAGATCAGCAAGCTTGGGATTGCTGGAAGTGTGTAGTAAAAGAATATTGGTTACTCATATGCATCATTGGAAATAATAAATTGTTGACACAGAGATATATCTCGCCTGTCGGCATAAATTTCAGAAAAAGAAAATCTGATGGACAGCAACATGGTTTATTAATTCAGTCTCTGGACCATTATCTAGTGGGCATGGCCTCAAAACAGTCGTCAAACTGATATGAACTGATAGTAATTCAACCTCATACAAAATATAATTGATCTATCACAAGTAGAACCTATCAAACTAACTTAAGCCAAAAACTTAACATTAAAAATTGCTAATTAATTCAAAGTCACTGGACCATGATTTGGGGGACAGGGCCTCGAAATAATCGTCAAACTGATATGTACCGATGATAATGCAATTTCATATTAAATATCAATGATCTATCACAAGTAGTTCCTATCAAACTAACTTAAGCAGAAAACTTAACATTGAAATTTGCTAATTAATTCAAAGTTGCTGGACCATGACCTAGGGAGCAGGGCCTTGAAATAATCGTCAAACTGATATGTAAAAATAGTAATGCAACTTCATACAAAATATCATTGATCTATCGCAAGTAGAACCTATCAAACTAACTTAAGCAGAAAACTTAACATTGAGAATTGCTAATTAATTCAAAGTCACTGTACCATGACCAAGGAGACAGGAACTCGAAATTATTGTCAAACTTATATGTACCGATGATAATGCAACTTCATAATAAATATCAATAATCTATCACAAGTAGTTCCTATCAAACTAACTTAAGCAGAAAACTTAAAATTGAAATTTGCTAATTAATTCAAAGTTACTGGACCATGACCTAGGGGGCAGGGCCTTGAAATAATCGTCAAACTGATATGTTAAAATAGTAATGCAACTTCATACAAAATATCATTGATCTATAGCAAGTAGAACCTATCAAACTAACTTACGCAGAAAACTTAACATTGAAAATTACTAATTAATTCAGTCACTAGACCATGACCTAGGGGACAGGGCCTCGAAATAATTGTCAAACTAATATGTACCGATGGTAATGCAACTTCATATCAAATATCAATTAAAGAACCTTAGTTAGCACGCTCACATACCCCACGTCCCCACATTGTCATTGGAGAAATTAAATAAGTGTAACAAAAAAAAAATTGTATAAGAAAAAATATTGAATAATAATTTCCTGTCAATATGCACATCTACATAGTATGTCCTTCTTATCTACAAAATTTCATGAAATTCTGTTGTGTGGTTTCAGAAGAGTGGAGATGACAAACTGTTGCAGAAGTACATTGAAGCAAATACGTTCAAAGGGGCGTAACTCCTAGAAAAAAAAATGAATCATAATTTCCTGTCGATATGCACATCTACGTAGTATGTTCTTATTATCTACAAAGTTTCATGAAATTCTGTTGTGTGGTTTCAGAGGAGTTGAGATGACAAACTGTTGAAGTAGTACCTTAAAGCAAATAAGTTCAAAGGGGTGTGACTCCTAGAAAAAAAATTGAATCGTAATTTCCTGTCGACATGCACATCTACATAGTATATCCTTATTATCTTAAAAGGTTTCATGAAATTCTGTTGTGTAGTTTCAGAGGAGTTGCGATGACAAACTGTTGCAGTAGTACATTAAAGTAAATAAGTTCAAAGGGGCGTAACTCCTAGAAAAAAAATTGAATCGTAATTTCCTGTCTATATGCACATCTACATAGTATGTCCTTATTATCTAAAAAGGTTTCATGAAATTCTGTTGTGTGCTTCAGAGGAGTTGCGATGACAAACTGTTGCAGTAGCACATTGAAGCAAATAAGTTCAAAGGGGCGTAACTCTTAGAAAAAAAATTGAATCATAATTTCCTGTCGATATGCACAACTACATAATATGCCCTTTTTATCTAAAAAGGTTTCGTGAAATTCTGTTGTGTGGTTTGAGAGGAGTTGCGATGACAAGAAACAGGACTGATGGACGGACGGACTGACGGACAGACGGACGGACGGACGGGTCAAAAACATTATACCCTCCGCAACTTCGTTAATGTCACCAGAAAAGCAATCCCTATGTTTCGCTTTCTGCAACAAAATGTCGCAGGCGAGAAAAAAATGGCTTATTTCATATAACAAAGAATGGGAAGAAAAAATAGGAATATTGTTCTTTTCAAATAAGTTAAACGTAAACAAGATCACAATCAACAATAGAGGAGATACAGAGATAACACAAGCAGAAAGAAACTAAAACAAATATGAACACAATGGATCCCAACAACACCTGGGGTTCTCCAAGTGAGTAAGCCATGTTTGCCACTATTTAGCTATGCGCAATGCTGCTCATAAACTTACCCGACTTATATACTTGAAAAGCATAAAAAAACAATGTATATAATAGATTTTCAAGAGTAGAAAAAACATTTACTGTTGTGGAGAAATACAGTTTTGAGAACTGTGACATCATGAGCCAAACATTGAAATGTTAAAATGACAACTTTGAAGAAAAACATTGCAGATGATATTGCCAAAAAGAAAATAAAGAAAGTAAGTTTTATTGCGATCATCTTGTAAGGACTTAATTACAAAGGGATTAGATTTGTGACTTTTCTAATGTCATACAGATTATTGATAATTTAAAAAAGTTGAAACAAACAAAAGAAACAAGTTTAGGCCATCATTAAAATATGTTTGCTTCTTAAACCATACTGTTGTTTATCTTAATGGGTCAGTTGGTAGGCATATTGGTGGAAAATTATGTTTCTAAGTTAAACTTCTTTACTCTTACTTGCATACTCATTTACTGGTATATAAGTGCATTGCCCAAATAACTTCATATTGTACCATTTTCATTTATATTTCAGGTCTATAAACGAATGGGATTGTCTCCAGGAGCACATACCATGCACCTTGCAAAACTAAAAGACTTACAAACTAGAGAGAGAAGAGCAATTGCCACTACAAGAAAAGCAAAGAAAAAGAGACTTGCACTCAAAATTTAAATGTATGTAAAATGTTCAGTAGTGCACAACATCAAACTAGATTATAATAATTTTCACTTTGTTTGCTTGTCTTTTGAAAGTTTCATTAAAAAATGTAAGGGGTATAAATTTGTATAATTAAAGGTTGCAACTCCCCCATAACACAGATGGCTGCAGTTGGAGGAAATATTTAGTGGCAATGTAATGTCAGATCAAAAATACCTGATTCTCCCTCAGTATCAGAGGTGACAGTTCTAAATGGTCTAATGTTTCACAATGGGAAGTCCAGGACTATAAATCAGAAATTATTGCAATACCTGTAGACATGACAGAAATTATTGCAATACCTATAGACATAATCAGTCTGGGACTATGTAATAGTACTGTTATTAACCTGTTTCCTAAGGAAATTTTGATGATTCTGTAATTCTTTAGGTGACAAATCAAACTCAGTAAGGCTCAAGCTGTGACAGATCTCATTACAGACATGTGAATGGAAAAAGAGAGCAATGCCTTTAGCTCCCAAGTTACCATCACCATACTCAGTACCCTCAAAAGTGTGAATCTGGGGATCAGTATATAGGTCACCGACTCCCTGGATATCTACAACAATCAGCTGGTGGTCAGATCTCTCAAACGTAAAATGACTCAAGGCCTGCAACAGATTGTCATATCACGTTATCAAATGCTGTTTTGAATCATACTAATCAATAATGTTGGGTTTGTTTTTATTTTAATATTTAATATATATTTAGATGCAAAATAAAGCTAATTACACCTATGATAAATCAATGTAATACATATGTACTGATTTTGCAACATATGCTCTGTGTATGAGTTATGAAAATACATAGATATTACATGTACTTTAAAAATTGTCAAAAAATTGATGATTTTGTCTTCTTTTCAGCTATGTTTTGAATGTCTTCAATTGTATTGACCTGTTTTGCCCTCATATTGACCTAATATGGACATAATTATTCTTATACTCAGGAATTTCTTTATCCATGAGAAGTTGCTGAGAAAATCATTAACAAGGTAATAATTTATACACGGTAATACTTTATAATCACCTGAGGAGTATATCTTAATGAATCTTCTACAAATCCTGAGTTGGAATTATACTTGACATAGTTCCCTTCAATATAATGTTCTAGGTGGTATAGTGGTGATCCTTTCCTATTCTTGAACTCCAAGATGTACATCTGCATCATATCAACCTGAAATGGTTACAAGGTTGTTTTATTTCATATTTTTTAAAACTTCAAACTGTTCCAAGTATTAAAGTTGAAATCCTTTCCATTTTTCAAATCTAAAGATTCTTCAGAAAAGTAGATCCACAAATGAAATAGAAAGATTTCTTTATATTTTTTATATCAAAAACATGATTTTTAAAGAAGTTTTATACTATAGATTGCAGCTCAGTTCAGTCAATCTTTCTTACCTTTATCATGTTTGTTATATCAAAAATTGGATAAAAATGATTTCTGAGCAAAACAAAATAAAATGCTTCGCTGAGCGCAGCCCGATATGACCGCAGAGGTCGAACCCTGAACAGTTGGTACAAATTTGGACACAATATTCAAGCTTGATACTGTCTAAATTTGGATTGTGATCAAATTTTTGGCATAATATAGATTTCTGACACAAAATAAATGTGGTCAAAGATCTTACAAATCTATTGCGCAATACTGTGCAATTGAAGATTTCTTCTTGAAAGTTTTCAAAAATTCAAAATTTGAAAAATTTTGAAAAAAAATATGAATCCTCTAAAAAAATTGGGAAAAAAAATCCCCCCCCCCCCCCAACTTTTTGAAACCCCCCTTGGAGCAATAACCCCAAAACTCGATCCCAGCCTTTCCTTTGTAGTATGAAACCTTGTAGTACAATTTCAGAGAGATCCATACACTTAAACACAAGTTATTGTCTGGAAACTAGAAAAATGCTTGTTTTTGGCCCTTTTTTGGCCCCTAATTCCTACATATTTGGGCAATTAACCCCAAACTCAATCCTAGCCTTCCCTTTGTGATATGGAACCTTGTGGTACAATGTCAGAGAGATCCATACACTTACACACAAGTTATTGTCTGGAAACTAGAAAAATGCTTGTTTTTGGCCCCTTTTTGGCCCGTAATTCCTAAACTGTTGGCCCCATAACCCCTAAAATAAATCCCAACCTTCTACTTGTGGTATTAAACATTGTTGTACAATTTCAGAGCAATCGAAATACTTATACACAAGTTATTATGCTGAAACTAGAAAAATGCTTGTTTTGGGCCCCTTTTGGGCCCCTAATTCCTAAACGGTTGGGATCATCATCCCAAAAATCGATCCCAACCTTACTTTTGTGGTATTGAACCTGCTTAAAAAATATCATAGAGATCCATTCACTTAAACTAAAGTTATTGTCCGGAAACCAATGTGTCTTCTGACGACGACGACGACGACATCATACCATAAACGATCCCAAAAATTTTTTTGCGGTCGTATAAAAATTACTTGATGTACAATGCTGACTTCCACAAAGTATTTCAGGTCAGGACTAACATGCTTGCTTACTTGGAAAGGTAAGTAACATAAGCTGGTCTCCAAAATTCTAATTTGCTTAAAAAAAGGGGGGGGGGGGGGATTAACAAAAAATTGAATGTGGATGGAATCACTTGATTAGACTTTGTTTTATTTCTCTAACCTTTTTAGGTGGATTATGTCTATTATATTCCTCTGCCCAAACTTTAGCATCCATCTGTAACTTTACATCTTGGAAATACACATCCCTGTCAACCTCCTCTATGTAACGTTTGGATACATAGTTCAAGGCATGGTTCCAGTCTTGTGAATGGGCAGAAGAAAACTTTGACAACTTCTTCCTACACATAGAGAAGATTTCTTTATGTCAGTTTAAAAGATCAGCAAATCAGAGTGTGATCAAATATTAAATGCTCAGAATAATTTTATCGACATATATTATAACATAAAAGAAGGTCATACAAGTAATTTTATTTGATGTCAAGAGCCAGACATCCTTTTTTCATTATTTAAGTATTAGTCTGACATTTAGGACTCTTTGAAACCTTTTTTTAAGGCTTCACATTCTTGACTTTTAGAAAAACCAATTGCATGATATGTTATAACTTTTTGATCGTAATTTGTCAAGCTGGGTTTTCAAGCTATCCCAAACCTTATTTTGAATCAGCTTTACACAATACTGTTGTATGCATGTATGCAACCTATGTTTCACAGTTTGTTTATATTGTATTGTATGGTATAGTCATTGTTTTTATTGATTAAAAGCTCTACAGAGCTTATTTTACTGGTGTCCAGTTGTAAAGACTTTACATAAACTTTCTATCTATGTCTATGTATGTTTGGTGAATTATAAACTGGTTATTATTAATTTGTCAAGAGAAACAATTTCATTTTCTTCAGAAAATAGAAAAGTCTGGACCTATTTTCCCACACCTGCTACTACTGATATTAACAAGTAATGAGTCACATAAGAAAATAATTCAGTCAATTGAAATACCAATACTTTTAATCTTTCTGTCTCTAAACAAAGTAATAGAAATGACTAAGTAACAAGATGTTACCATTATGTACTGCGTAGTATGGATAATACATCACATGATGTAACAACCCAAGAATAACAAACATGCATCAGAACTTTCTATTACCTTAACGCAATTAATATACATGATTGAGATGACGAAAACATGCATATCAGCACAATTGCTTGTGTACTAAGATTCAATTTGATGTGACCACAACATTTTGATAAACTACCTTAAACATAAAATTTAACCTGATACGGGAAGGAAGAATGGATAGACTAAAGGATGCATCAATCTGAAAACATAATGCCATCCCTACTATCATTACTAAGGGGCATAAAAAGTATTTCTAATTTTCCAGAATGAGATGCTTCCCAAGTCTTGAAGTTTGCATTGTTGATAACATATGTGTCTTTTAAAATTATTGCATGAGCACTTATGGTCCAGATACCATTAAAAACTAATTTTAATTTATATAAATGGCAAGGACCTACTGTCAACCAACCCTCAGGCCCTTTTCTCAGTTTTAACTTTAAATATTCAGTTTCTGCCTGCCACTAACATTTTCTAACTTAAAAATAAACTTGACACAGAAATTTCTAACAAACAGTTTTGAACTCTATTATGGAAAGCTCCTTACAGGGTTTATATTAGATCATAAGCAATAACATTAAAACATAATCTTCTTAAATTTAGTTAAATTAAAACGTTCATTGATTCATAGCTTGGCAAAAAAATGAGAAAATCAATTTGTAAGATACTTATTAAAGCATTTTACTTCATTGAGGTTCAATTTTGAAAGGTTTCATATTTAATATGAATTTTGTAGGTTATTGATTGTTTAATTTTGACAGATTTTTATATCAAACATGCAATTGGTAAGCAAGTAAGATTGCAAATAAAACCTTTGTACCTTCTATTGCCATTTATGCTCTCAATGCTCTTAAACTTTATACTTTATTTGGCCTTTTAACTTTTTTTTATCAAAGCATCACTTATGAGTCATTTGTAGGCAAAACATGCTTTGGTGGGGTTTTTTATTGCATCAAACATAAAATAATTTGCCTGCATAGTCAGTAGAGATAGCAGAAAAACAACCTATTAGACATTTACACTGGCCTTGGACCTTTGTCAAATCAATACAGCATCTAGCCAATAAGTTATGGAAAGAAAAAAATGGATGAAATTTAAATTTTAAACAAAACTAATGAATATTTAACCATCATAAAAGCAGACAAATTTTTTATCAATAATATTGAGTCAACATAATGACATTTAAAATGAAAACTATTATGCAGTTTTCAATGTGACATTCAAAAGGGTAAAGGATTTTTATGCTGAAGTAATTTTTATATTACACGTTCTAATAATCTCATTCACGACATCAAAATAACATAAGTAGGTGAACTTTCTTGATGAATAATGCAAAATGCAATTATATTTCACTTTTCGTTAGTTATGTCTATTGGAGATGAGCCTTCTATGTAAGATTATGTAAGTTTCTGTAGGTAAACAAATACATTATTGAAGATGTGCCTGCTACCGAAAATTATGTAAGTTTCTGTAGGTAAACAAATACATAAGCTTAGACTTTATAGGTGTCTGACCTCAATGAACATGCTGATCAACATGTTTACAACTACAGGTATATTGACCGGTTTATATATATCAATAAATATATTAACCTGACCTATATCAGTATGTATAAATATATGACCTATGTTCCTAATTAGAGTAAGGCTATACATATTATCTGTAAATTTCTTCTCCATAAAAAAAATTGTTAAAACTTTGGGGGTCCTTCATTTTGGGCATAGGACATTTGAACGAAAATAAAAAATGCACATAGGGTCATTTGAGCGCTGACATCATAGGACATGAGCGAAATGTCCTGTGATACTTTTATGCGAGTTAAAAAAATTATATCTGGCGAATAGAGGAGGTACTCCTTCGACCTTCCTAATTTTTTTTTGTTCAAATGTCCTATGCTTATTATTTATTTTCGCTCAAATGCCTGCCATTTCTCTCAAATGTCCATTTTACAGACTAAAACATCATATGGTCAATATCTAGTCTTTCTCCTTTATTAACCTTAAAATTTTTTTATTAAGTAACTACTGGTAATAACTGCTGAATGGACCAATTCACTGGTTCAGAATATAAGGGATGGTGCTGTGTGCACCAAGATGAAAATAATGTTATGCCATTCGATGGATATCTATTGTTGGGAAATTAATAACCATTCACGACATTTGAAAATGTTTTCCAGAATGATTTAGATTGCAAAAAAGTGTAAATTTAAAAGTGATGTTGTATCATAGTCTCATCATTGTCACAGTCTTGATTTTAACAAGTCAAGGACAGTAAGAATACTAAGACTGTTGTCCATTGTTTCTATTTTTAATTTCATTGAATCATTGATTTACAGCCTTTTATTATAAATGGCCACCTGATCAATATTCAAGACCATATAGTGGACTTTAATAATCATTATATCATACCCCTTATTTTTGTAGCCATCTTTCTGATTTTCCCTAATGCTAGTTTCATCAACCTAATACAACTAAAGGATAATGATGGGAGCCATCACAGGCCCGTGCTCAAGTAAACCATTAAAATGTTATGCAAATTAGAACTCTTCAAAGAAGTTATCAGGGTTATTAAATTTAAACATAGCTTATACCCACAGAGGCAGGAATTTCTAATTCATCCACAAACTACAAGGGGCTTTTATATACAGCTGAAACAATTTCTGTACATATATGCACAGGGTGGACTAACTTGATTTAAGTTTTTGACCATGACTTTCACTTAACATTTTACACATTTTTCCTTTTCTAGTAGTGGTAAATAATCATGCCAAGTTTCCTAACCAAACTTCAAGGGGTTTAAAGGTTAAAGAGTGGAAAAAAATATATACATACATGTATGCACAGGGGTGACTAAGTTTAATATAAATAAGAAGATGTGGTATGAGCGCCAATGAGACAACTCTCCATCCAAGTCACAATGTATAAAAAGTTAACAATTATAGGTCAAAGTACAGCCTTCAACACAGAGCCGTTGCTCACACCGAACAGCAAGCTATAAAGGGACCCAAAATGACAAGTGTAAAACAATTCAAACAGGAAAACCAACGGTATAAAAAATGAGAAACGAGAAACACTTATGAACCAAGTAAGTTTTTTACAATGACTTTCACTGTACAGTTTCTTCCTTATACCAGACACACTTTCTTAGTGGTAAATAATAATGTCAAGTTAAATTACCCAACTCCAAGGTGTTTGAAAGTCAGTGAGCAGGAACAATTTGAAGCGGAAGTATGCATGCTCAAGCTGATTACTATAAGCCTTCTACCCAATATTCAGCAGGGCCCTTATAATTTTATCCCTACCCAAGTACTTATCCTGAATCAAATTTTGGAATATATGTCTCTCTTAATTACCATCCTCTATTTCAACAATGATATCTTCAGGGACATCATATTTTCCATTACTTGCCAGAAGCATGTTCTTTGGGAAGTACATACCCTCTTCACAACAATAAAAAAATAATATGAACGCAAACATTTCGTGGTCATATAATAAAAAAAATATTGCAGATATAGACATCTATTTTTAAAAATATTTAAGAACTGTCAAAACTAATTGCTTTCAATAATTAAATGCAGTGTTACAGCAGATAAAATCAATTCCAAACTAGTTCAACATATCAATTAGAAAATGTATATCAAGCTGATGATCGATTATAACTAAAATAGACCTATAGTTTAGTTAATAATATCATTATCAGTTTGATTAAATAAATAAATCTCATTTGTAAGAGATGATATGACATTATCTCCTATTACATATGATAAATAAGACAATGTTGTGATGTCTTATATTGTTTATTTGTGGCCTTGAATTGTAACTGACTTTTTGTAATACCTAGAACAATACAGTACTGCCTAGCATATATCTATCAGTAAATCAATACAGGATAAAAATAGATTTCTATAGATGTTGACTACTAATTCAGGGCAATGGAAAAAACTTAGCAGTCATCAATATCATTTATGGAAAATAAAACGACATCTGGTGAAGTCTGAGTTTTAATGTTTCTATTTCACATTTTCTTTCTTTACTTTTCTATATCTCATAACTTGTATGAAATAACAGTGCAGTAATGCATGATATATATACATATAGATTTGTCCCATCCAACACCTAGTTAGGTTATTGTTTTTGGAGACTGGATATCACATCCCTAGGAAAATCCACTGTCACTTTTATTACATAATGATTTTTTAAAATAGATGTATAATATATTGCTTTAAGAAATGGTCTATTTCTAGAAACTGACCCCTTGTCTCTGCTGATGGTTGGGCATCAGTTATAAATCTGTAGTATGGTATAAATAGTGTGGCTCACATTAGCATTGATATTGCGACTATCAACTTCAATTTGTTGCATTATATTTATAGAAATAGCAATCTTGCCTGTTAGCTAATAGAATAATCTTAAAATAGACCCATTGGAGGCCACATACTGCAATACAGCTTTTTTGCACTAAGGCAATGCATAGTAAACATTAATCAATCAATCAATCAACCCAGGAGTCCAAATTTTGTCATGTATATCTTAAAAAATACATTTTAAAGTACTAGTAGTTAATGATAAAAGCAAGGTGTAGCAAGTAACACCAATCACCTTGGAATAATTCAAGATTTGCTATTAAAAATACCTTGATTTCCAATTACATAACCCAATAACATTGTTTACTTCTACCTTTACCAACATTTTATAAACTCAAATCAATAATAAATTGAAACTGATACAAGATCAATCATTCTAGATTCCCTAGAGCTAACAAGCAATGGAAAAAGTTGTTTATACCTGAATTATAAAGACTGATTGCTTGTCACTTCAATATAACTAATGTGACCTTATCATGCAATATAAGAATTGGCTTTACTGAATCTAAGTATATATGAATACAGGGAGATGTGGGATATACATCATTGAGAGAGCAATCTAACAACACAAAAAAAAAACTAAATAAAACATCACTCCTTCATACATGTAATACTGTAAAACAGAGTCGAAAGATACCAAAGGGACATCTAATTTTACAGTATTTACTTTGAAACTTCACTATTTTTAGAGGCAAATTTGTTCACAAGATTTTAGTTTTAAGTTTTTCTTGTCCTTGATTTTGATCTTCCTTAAAGATCAAATTAACTCGAGGGTATTTTTCAATTTTATCTTCATTGCAAAATTAGTGAAAAAAATAACAAATGACAAAAATTTCCCACTTACAGTAGATTAGAAATTTTAAAATGATGTCATTTTTTTACCATTACTTTTATATCAATTCTGTAGTGCAATATTTGTTAGATTGCATGTAATTGGACTGTACAATGATTTCAAATTAACAAACAACATGGGTTGCTTCTGTAACATTAAAATAATTTTTTCAATAACAAAGCAAGATCATTGCTCAAGGTGAATGTATATAATAAGGACGAAATTATTAAAATTGCTTATTTTCTGAGAACTTGCAGAGTTCTCGAAAAGGGGTGGTCCGAAGGTTTTGACCACCAAAGTTTGCTAAGGACTGACAAAATTTTGGTATTTTGCAATAGAACTATTAGTGAGGATCGCCCCGACCTAGCAGATTTCTTTCAAGGACCACCTGGTTAATTTTTTATTGAGAACTCTGGAGAAGAGTGGATTTCTTCTGAAAACAAAACACTGGGTTGCTGTCTCACTGACTGTTTTAACTACATGCATGTAATTCAACAAAGCCAACAAGTTTTATAAGTAAATTTATCATGATACTGAATAATGTCCTATAAGTATGTCATATAGACATTAAAGAATCATTCAAACTTTTCCAAATGAAATGGATATTATGTCAATACTTGTATGCCAAATTTCTTTAATATGTCTAAATGCTTTATTTCTAGTCCTCCTTAAAATGTTACAAAGATCTCAGGTCATCAAAATTGAACTTTATAAAGGAAATCTCAATCTATTTTTAAGTATAGTTCCTAATCAAAATAATGAAGACTACATGTACATCGTAGGTACACAAATTTACAAATATCTGCATTTTAACAGATAACAATATGTAGTTCAAACATTGCAGAAAGGTAAATAACCTGTGGACTTGTTTGTTCATTAAGCTTCAGCCAACCTGAACCCTTTAATAGTACTAAGTAACCACCAATAAAACAACATGTTTACTTATGAGTAAGTAAGTACATGAAGAAGAACAGGTACTCTACATGCTGATCTATGTGTTAATATGTTTGACCTGTTCATTTAACTATTTAATCTTGAATATATTACCATGCTTGTACATCTACATGTAGGAAAGGAAAATGATTTATGGATGTTTTTAGAGAGTTCACAAAAAGTTGTGCTTACGTCAGCTTGTCTACAAAAAAATTAAATTTTAGGTACTTTAAGGGTGAACAAATAAAAGTTGATCAAAACAACATTAATTTCATATGAACATCTCATATTTCAACCAGTTTTGTATAATAAAAACAAAACACACCTATCAACAAATCCACAAGCACAATTTTACTGAAAAATGAACCCGACCACAGAAACATATAAAAAGAAGTCTATGTCAGACAGACAATGTCCCACATGGGCCTAAAATTTATATAGTTGAAAAAAATTAAATGTGACTATTAATCGCCTGAAATGAATTGGATAAATTGGCCAATATGCTTATTGCAATCAATCCATATACCAAATATTGTTGACCACTCATGTATACCGGTAAATACAGGCCTCATCCTGAACAAGCTGAAACTGAACCTAACCTAAAACTTGAGCATGAAAATGATCAGATGTTAATATAACTGGCTTATAAAATTTTATCATAAACTAACTCCATATAAATTAATGTTCTCCTAGTTGGAAGTAGGGCTAATTGCAAGTTGTGAATGCTGCCATTGCCAGAAAATTAAAACCTTTCTGAACTACTGCAACTTTTAGAGCAGGTGAGACACAAACTGAAATATTGGGTTTACTGGTTTAGTTTCATAAAGATGTCATTTTCAAGATAGAGTCACTAAATGTGTAAATTTTAAAATTTATTTTTTTATGCACAAAAAACAATTCATTTTCAAAATTCAAGAAAGTCACTTCAAGAAAAAAATGTTTTTCAATTGGCAGATTTCTCATGTCTTCAAATTGGACTCCTGCATATACCTAAGATCATAATCTAAACTAAATATGACCTGTGCTTTTTAATTTGCATGTATTGTACAGACAAAGTTATAACTCCAACATTTTAACAGTCCTTAAAACAAAAACTTTCTAAGACATAAATTTAATGCAATCTATCAGAATATCAACTTACGTTCTGTAGCACTGTCTCATTGCTCCTCTTGTAAATGGCTACAATATAAAATTTAAAAAATATTTAAAGCTCCCGATTTCAGACTTGCAAAGTACATGTACAATGTATCTCTTTCAGAAGCTTTATATATGAATACTTTTCAAAATAAAGCAACTCTATTTATTCTAATTTATACAGCCTTGGCTTTCAATTTTTTGGTTTCGAGCACTCCTGATGAAGGTTAATCCAGAACAGCCTTTAGACTAATTAAAATTTATAATGTGCTATTTTTATTTAAAAATGTTAAAATGAAATTTGCTAGATGTGATACTGTCGATTAATTATTATTCGTGGGATACCAATTTTTGTGGATTTCAAGAGTATACATGTAGGTGAGCCAAGAATTTAAATGATCAACAAAATACAAATTTCTGTAGGCTTGCATGAGGACTTTGGCAAAACCATGAAATCAAATATCCATAAAAATACGATTTTTTATCAATCCACAAAAATTAGTATCCACGACATGTGACGACAATAAATGAATCCAAAGTATTCAAAATGTAATCACAAGTGGTATAAAGAGTGTATGTGAATAAAGACAAAATAAAGGCATAACTTTCAAAAACTTTACAAATTACTAAAAGTGGTGTCAACAGCAAAAATCAGAGAATTACTAGAACATTTAATATCTTTTGTATTATAAGCACTTATCAAACATGAAGGAATGCACAATGCATGGAGATGTCAAAGAATCTGAGAACAAACAGTTTTGAATTATCCTTAGCGTTCAATACAAATGTAGCTACAGTAAAATGACTGTAAAAAGAATATTGTTAATACATGTATATCTACTTGAAGGAACAAAGGTCTTCATTTATTCCTTAATTAATTATAGTTATATGATTGTATTAAAATACATAGTAGTTCAAATACCAACATAACGTTAGAATATAATTGCAGTATTGAAGTTAAATATAAATGAATACCAAATGTTTACCTTTGTTTGCATTTTAACTTGGACTTCATCTGTACACCATATTTTCTTGTGAGGATTATATCTATGTCTTATACACATTTCTGTTTGAATTTGTTCAATGTGAAATTTAGACCATGGATCATGTTCATACTGATCTCTTGCTCTACGAATTGCTTTTAACCAATTGATTTTTGCTCTACTAGCATTCAAGTTCTTGTTTATATCAAGCCTAATGCTTGGTGCATTTGCAAGCGCTCTTGATAATCGTCTTTGACGAAGTGTCATAAAAGCCTTTGGCTTTTCTTCATTCTCACTTTCAGACTCCCTCTCATCAGATGCTTCACCTCCTTGACCATAATCATCATCATCAAACAATGTTATGGGGAAAAGCATAATCTCCCCGTCACTACTGGCAGACGATGAATGAGACATGTTTACAAATGAAAAATTAATTTAAAGAGGCTAAAATTCCTATCATTTGGAATACCATCCAGCAATTGGTACTTTCTTGTATTCTGTTTCATAGTTGACTGCAACCCATTTTGCTGGAAATAAAAATCAGTTATAAACTTTGTAAATAGTAATGTGACTTGTCATGCCTGTATTGTCACAGTATTGATATAATTGTGATATATAAGTTATCCGTTTGAAAAATATGGACTTAAGACAATCAAATTTTAAAAGAATAGCTCTTTCATATTACATCACAGAATAAAATATTCTAACAAGTATTTCATAATAGAACTCATTTCTACATTGTTTTATAATAAATTTCCAAAAATATAAATGAGGAAATAAATTAGTTTGTGTACATGGACTTCATTATTATTTATTAATTAAATAACATAGATGTTTCACAGGGATTCCATCATAATTTTTGGTTTGCAGACAACAATCACATGGTCATTAAAATGTTTTATTTCCCAATAAAACACAACATCCATGACTGCATGTGTTCTCCACAACAATGCTAGAAATATTTAAAACAAAACAAATGAAAACAAAATTTACCTCTCTTCATTTGCTGTATCGACTACACACAAAAACTGCTTTTTTTAAAAACTTAATCTGACAAGAAAACTATGCAAGAAATCCTGTTTCAGTTATCATTTTTAGCTGTGCTGTACAGTAAAAACACAATGAATGAACATAATGAGATGTCATTGAACAGCAATATCAGTGAACATACATGTATTATACCTGTACACAATAAACATATACAATGACAGTACTTAAAGCTTCGTCACATTTATGACATAATTCTATATTTATAAATATAGTTGTAAGGTTTTATTCTAATTTTCTAAAGGTCCTAGGAGTATTGATCAGACCAAGAACTATACGTATGAAGGTCCACACACATGTCACAGAAAACCCTTAATAGATTCTAATCTATTGAATTAATACCAACATTTCCAAATGGTAATTTCTCTTTCAGTACGTTTCGTCACACTAAATAGGGAAGTTTGAATTTGTGATACCTGAGCTGTGCCTGTGGAAAGTTGTCACGTACACTGTTAGTGTTAAAAAATATATAAACTTATAAAGCATGGCCTACCATCATCAGGACTGACATAAAACAATGCCTTAATTCCTTTACAACGTGGGTCTACAATCGATTACAGCAATCCAAAAACACTGAAGTAATGTTTGTATTTCCCAAGTTTCTGTTTTATTTACAGTATTGTTGTAACCAATAAAAAGCAGCCCAGCAAAGCATGTGGTTTCTGTCCTCCAAGTTGTTTACGTACATTCGGTATATTCGGTTTACGTGCAACAAAGGTCAATGTCAATCAGACTCGAAACATCCCGAATGTCGAAAGTGTGTAATCATGATTCATAACTGTGATTAACAAGAGGCCAACGTGTGTGAACAGAAGTAACAGCCCCAGCGCGCATTTTATTTATTAAAGTTATATCTCATTCTGCATAGTTGTGTAAAGTATTTTAAAACCAGAAAAAAATACTTTTGAATTGATAAAAAGGCATTTCTTGAAACTTGTTCTTTAGTGTCCTTTATCTCTATTTCGATGGGATAGATTCGTTCAACATAGTCGCCAAATTTTGTATTATTTAGTGAGAGAACATCATCTATATAGCGGAACGTAAAGTTAAAGGATATTGCTAACTTTTTATCTTTCTTCCTAAGAAGTTCCTGTATGAAGTCAGCCTCATAATAATAAAGAAACAAGTCGGCAAGAAGAGGGGCACAATTGGTTCCCATTGGAATTCCGACAGTCTGTTGAAAAATACGTCCTCCAAACGTAACAAATATGTTGTCAATCAAGAAATCAAGCATCTTAATAATGTCAGTTTCAGAGAATTTTTTGTTTGAATCAGAGTGATTCTTTACAAAGTAGGATTTATCCCTCCCCAAGACAAGATACTTGTATCTACGTTCGCCATTCTTTTTAATGAAACAAAGTAATACCAACTCTTTCAATTTGTCTTTAAGTTTGGAATGGGGAATACTTATGTAAAGTGTAGAAAAGTCAAATGTTTTAATACTATTGCAAGATGAGAGAGTCTTAGATTGTATGTACTCTAAAAGATCTTTGGAATTTTTTAGTATCCACATCTGATTCACGCCACCTCTAGAATAGGCAGTTTCACAATAACTTTGGAGCCCGGCTTTGATTGCTGATAAAATAGATGTTAATGATTTAGAAAGAGGTTTCGTGGAGCACTTGGAAGACCCAGCAATATACCGTTGTTTGTAAGGACACTTATGTAGTTTAGGTATCCAATACAGTGATGGAAGATCCAGTTCTTCATCTTTGGTTGAAATTCCAAAGGAACATAGAACAGACCTATGATTATCCAGGATTTCCTCTTTGGTAAGTGTCGTGAGGGTATATGTTGAGTTTCCAAGTGAATTGTCAATACCTAATTCATTTATCAAGCAGTTTATGCAGGAACATATATATTGATATACTGTTCCCAGGTTTATGTAATGATATTTACACACAAAAACGATGTTGTTTGGGGCTTTATCTGCGGGGACAACAACATATTTGTCATGGAGGTAGGACAAGTGTTTTGCAACATACAATTGTATTATATGTCTCTGTTTAAACTAAACCCATTGATTAGAATACGTTCGCTCATTTTCCTAAAGTAGTTACATCAGCATCTGTGTGCAAATGTGAACATTAGTGCAGTTAATTTTTTTATTGCTTCTGAAAATCTTTTGTCTTATTTCAGTTAACTCCCGAATTATCAGATCACTGCCAATATATAATTGCTTCAATGTAATTTCAGAACGAATCAGAAGAAGAATACTTTCACCCCAATGCCAGACTAAATATATCTGGGATGATAATTCCCCATTACATTTTCAAAAGTCTTTAAACACCTTTGAAGTTAACAAAATGATTGAATTTAATCTTATAAAAATAAGGAGATGTGGTATGATTGCACGCAATGCCGGAGACAACTATCCACCAAAGTTAAAATGAAGTGGATGTAAGCAATTATAGGCAAGCGTACGGCCTCCAACAATGAGAAAAACCATACCGTATAGTCGGCTATAAAAGGCCCCGACATGGAAAATATGAAACAATTCAATTGAGAAAACTAACGGCCTAATTTATAACAAACCAAATTACAAATTACAAATTAAGAAAAACAAATACATGTATGACAGACATAAACAAATATTAGTTTGGAAGATGGGAAGAATAATTTCAGATCCCTAAATAAAAATACATTTGCCGAAAATGAATCGATTCTTCAGCAGCTTAATAATTTAGAAAAAAATAATATTTTTAATGAATTAGACTTTAAGATCACGGAGTCTGAACTACTAAAAGCCATTAAATCTTTAAAAGAATGGCAAATCCAATGGTTTTACTATGATACTGAATGAAATGATTAAATATGGCCAATCAATTTTAAACCCATTATTTTAAAAAGTTTTGAATATATTTTTTTTCAGCAGGAATCTATTCTAATATATAGTCAAGGGGATACGTTTCACCTAACATAAAAAGGGGGTCAATATATGATCCTTCAAACTATAGAGGTATAACCATGTGACACTATGGGTCAACTTTTTAACAGAATATTTAATAATAGACTGACAGCATTTTTTGAGAAGAGAAATCTCATTTGTAAAGAGCAAATTGGATTTAAACGTGGATGTCGTACATCTGATCGTATGTTTGTTATAAATACTCTTGTACAAAAATACATTAGAAATAAATCCCAACCATTATATGCATGTTTTGTAGATTTTAAACGTGCATTTGTCCGGCTCTGTATGGCACCTAGGACTTTTCTGTCAGCTTAAAAAGGCTGGTGTCGGTTCAAAATTTTATAATATACTTAAGTCAATGTATAAAAACACTCACTTATGTGTCAAAATTGATTCTTTTAAAACAGAGTTTTTTCCAGTCCAATATTGGTGTAAGACAAGGAGATCGCTTGAGTCCAAATTCATTTGATTTATACTTAAATGATTCACCAAATTATTTTGATTCTACATATGACCCAGTTACCTTAAACTCAAAGTCCATTAATTGCTTAATGTATACTGATGATTTAGTATTATTGTCATCCAGCGAGGCAGGGTTACAAAATTGTGTAAACAAATTATCCAGCTCTACCAAAGACTGGAATATGGTTATTAACTGTGATAAAACTAAAATAATTGTGTTTAACAAAGCAGGTAGATTAAAAAATATAAAAATTACTTATTGTAACAGCCTTATAGAATGTGTTCAAAACTACACTTATTTAGGGGTAACATTTAGTGCATCAGGTACATTTCCATATGCCAAAGAGGATTTAAGTAAAACGGACATGAAAGCATTATTTAAGCTGAAGACAACGCTACAAGAAAAACCAAATATTACTACTATTTTACATTTATTTAATCACACAATGAGGCCAATACTTTTATATGGATCAGAAATTTGGGGTAACACATCCTCCGATTTTTTTTTAAACTGACCCTGAAACCTTTATTATAAAAGAATTGACACCATCTCAGTTGAGAAAGTACATAAAAAATTCTGTGAATTTGCATTTGGTGTTTAAAATAAATCATCCAACTTGGCCAGTAGAGGTGAACTAGGAAGTTATCCAATCATTATGTATGTTTTTCTTATCATGATTAAATATTGGTGTTATCTAAAAAATATTTCAGATAAAAATAGTATATTATATCAAGCTTTCAAGAGTCTATTATAATGGGTTCAGAAAATAAAAAATCCTGGATTAGTAATACGTGTATAAGAATAGTTTTGTCTTATCTGAACTTGATTATTTATTCCATATGCCTAGTTCATCTAATTATATTATAACAAAATTAAAGAGTTCTCATAAAACTATATTTAAACAAAGGAGTAGGCCCAGTAAGACCCCTTTTTGACCCCAAAATATAGCAGTTTTACAAAATTGTTAAAATGTAAATTGTTAGCTATTTATTGGAAAGAAGAATACTTCTGTTACATAAATATGGGCTGTTTTTGACAATACAATGCATCGGGTACTAGCATCATTAAGTCATGCTAAATTACTGAAATCTTCGAAATTTTAGCATATTTTGGTTAATTTTTAGACGGTTTCCGTCTGAAATGGAAGTGGCCGCATTTGTGTTCATTCTTAATATTTAAATGTAAGTTGTATTTGATGATCATACATTACATATATAAAGGTTGAGAATGAACACGGATGCGGCCACTTTCATTTTTGACAAAAACCATCTGAAAAGTGACATATTATGGCATATTTGATAGATTTTTCATATTTAAGCTTAAATTTGAGCGTCTTTAATGACTAAATCAGTTCAAATCTTTCACATTAACTAATTGAATCGACTGAAGTAGACACTTAAGTGTTTAAAAAGTGTCCAAAATCTTTCATCAGATGAACCTGAATTTTGAGGCCAAAATCGGCCCTTACCGGACCTACTCCTTTGGTCTAAAAGGCTTTTTATATGATAATACAAAACATTCCAAAGTTGGGAACAAGTTAAGAACATATCGTAAATTTAAAAAAACATTTTCAAATTAGAAAAATATTTAAGTTGTGGTAATGAAAATGAAAGAAGATTGTTTACTAAATTTAGAGTAAGCTCACATAACCTCAACATTGAGAAGGGAAGCTATTGTAACTTGGATATTAGTGAACGAAAATCTAATTTATGTAAAATTTCTGTTGAAGATGAACTCCATTTATTATCAATGCCCATGATTAACAACAGTGCGCAAACCATACTTTGATCAATTAAATAATAATAATAATAATTTTAATAAACTTACTGATGAAAAAAACTAATTGGGCTTTTAATCAATGAAGACACAGACATTATTAATATAAATCACAAACTTTTAAAACAACTGTCCAAAGAAAGAGATGCGCTAATGAATAATTGACTTAAGAGCTGTCCCCCTTTATTACTATTTTTATTATTGTATGAAATTTCTATGTTCCAAATTGGAATCCATGTTGCTGGTTTTTATTCACCAGTATATATATGTTATACAGTTCTTTTCTTCAATAAATGTATATATGTTCAATGTTTTAATCAACTTAATCATTCAAGTCCTGTTTCAGTATTGAATGTTTTGTCTTGTAGTCATAATTAAACTGTAATTATTCTGCCGAAATACGGGCACTATGATTAGTTAAAGGGAAATCACACTATTGTTTATACGCATCGCTCTCGGCGCCGCTATAGTGTCGTGACC